CCTATAGAGTTTACGGTCAAAGAGGTATGAACACTGGAGTTCACGGTCCAAGTGTTCACGGTCCATATGGGTTTACGGTCCTATGTGTTTACGGTCCTATGACCTTACGGTCATAAGGTTTATGGTCCATGAGTTTACGGTCATTGAAGGGTGTGTGGTCTAAGGAGATACACTAGACCGTAAACTCATCAATCTTGCACAAATGATAGTTTTCAAGGGCTTCATTCAAGGGCATCGGATTCTAGGGACCATGCTTAGCCTTAGGAAGGGTAAAGGCTATAAGAACACCCTTTATAAGGGTTTACGGTCTATGAAGGTTCATAGAACCGTAAACTCTTTTGTTCAAGCAATAGAGGGATGATCTTAAGTCCAAAATGAAGGATTTTAACTCGATTCATGAAGGGGAAGATGATACTTACGGTTTTTCAAGGCAAATGAGGTGTTTTCGGTCCAACACAACCGTGTTTTTGAGGATCCCTTGAGCAAAACTCGAAAATGGTAGAGAGAGAGAGAGAGAAAGAGTCTTTGGAGTGCTTAAAAGGTGAAATGAAGGCTAAATTCCATATATATAGAGTAGAGTTCTCGGTCGATGGGGGTCCACCTGACCGTAAACAGTTTCACGGTCTACACGAGTTTACGGTTACCTGACAATAAACTCAAGGTCTCGACCGTAAACTCCTTTTTGAGGAGGTTTACGGTTGCTAGGTAGTTTAGAACTTAAACTGACACTTCCAAATACTAATTCCTTTGGTTCTCTAGAGTTAGAATACTCAAAACAGGTTCCAAACAGTGATAACTGGAAGCAAAATGAGTCTAACACTGATAAATTTGAATGTTTACACAAGTTAGAAATTTCGGGTTGTCACAACATTGACTACAAATGTTAAAATGGATAATAAAATTTTATCTTTTGGTAGAAAAAAAATTATTAAATTATAATAGTTCATAATGCTTTTTTTTTTACTTTTTACATTAAACTTTTTGCTCTCTCTCTCTCTCTCTCTCTCTCTCTCCCTCTCCCTCTCCCTCTCTCTCTAACATCCGTTTCCAAGTATTTTCATTTTCAACCCCAACATCCATATTTCCTTGCAAATCAGGTCTGTACGTTGGGGGTATGTGTGGTGTATGTCGGACGTACAGGTTAATGACTTGTAACATCCACAAAAAATCATGCCAAATTTGAACTTTTCAAAAAATTTCAAAACCATTTATTATTACAAAACTTGTTTTCAAAATAATATAATATCAGAATATTTCAGAAACAAGTCATAAACATGAGGAGCTGTACGATCACGCCTTTGCCTTCCCGCGATCATCTGATGTACCTGAAACCAAAACTGAAACTGTAAGCCCGAAGCTTAGTGAGTTCCCCCAAAATACCCATACATACAATAATACACATATAATCACAAACATCATACTATGGGTCCAATCAACCATCAGGTTGGAATACCCCATGCCCTCAACCATCCGGTTGGAATGCTAACATAATATGGGTCCAATTATCCTCGGGATGGAATACCCCAGACCCACAACCAACAGGTTGGAATGTCCACATACTACGAGTCCAATCATCCTCGGGATGGAATACTCACGACCCACAACCATCGGGTTGGAATGCCCAGGTTTATTGGCTTTCACACAAAACAGATAAGCCTCAACCATCAATCAAACATGTGTACATATAACAGATAACCAAATAACAGTCTATAGACAGACAAACCGATCTAACCGATCATAACCGCATATAACATCCTATCTACCAGGATACTGATCTAACGGATCATAACAACATATACCATCCTATCTACCAGGATACTGATCTAACGGATCATAACAGCATATACCATCCTATCTACCAAGATACTGATCTAACGGATCATAACAGCATATACCATCCTATCTACCAGGATATCGATCTAACAGATCATACAATACTCAAGCATATAACATATCCGGATAACAATCCAAAAGGGCCGACCTTGGTGCCTTAGACCCTTGAGTATAGTGATGAAACTCATCTCACAACTGTCGAACTGAAGTAAAGAATCGAACTCCCGAATCGCTCTCTCACCACAAATCCCGAACTATCAAATAACGAATATTAAGTCAATAAATGGGAATGTCAATCTTGAATAAGGGTCCTCATAATTCATTTTGTCCTTCCTCGTTACTGGGCCAAGGCCCATTTGCCAAATCCATAATCTTAAAAGTCCATATATCCAAGGCCCATTAATGGCCCAAATTTCCCAATTTGGGTCTAACTCCCTAATTGGGCCTTATTACAGGGTCCCTTATCAAGATTGGCCCAATTGCAATTATTCAGAGGGCCCAACAAGGCCCAAGTCCAGTTAGTCCAAAAGCGGCCCAATCCCAAAGCCCAATTTGACAAAAACCCAACATCCGGGTGGTTGATTCTGTACGCTGGGCGTACAGGATTTACGCGGGGCGTACGCGGGGTTTTGCTAAAACCTTAATAAGTGCTTAATGGTTTAAGCACTTAAGCCCAAATTCCAGATCCATTTGACCAAATGTGTCTTTGAACCATAAAGTCGCGAACTTTAAGACTTTGGACGTCCAGAAAGCTCTTAACACATGGTCTTAATCCATTAAGACCTTCCTACTCCATGCATGAGACACATTTAGCTATTAGGACATCATTTTTATCACTTAGGACCTCCTCAAGGGCCTGAAAGGACAACTCATTTCGTCCAAATCATATCATGCACCAACTTGGGACTTTTAGGACAAAGAATGGTTTCATAAAGCTAGCATTGCAAGATCTATAACATACAAGCATAAAGTTTGAAGCTTTTTACCTTCTGGAGCTTCTATAGCACAAGGAAACTTCAGATCCACAAGCTTGCCTTCTTTCTCCAACTATTTGATGCAATGCCTTCACCTTCAAGAGCTTAAAACACATTAACTCACACTCACATACAAAACTAGGGTTTAGAACGTTTCTGGAATATGGAGGCTAGGAGTGATGAGAGAAATGAGCCATACGAATGTTTATATAGCCCCCCAACCCTAAATATTAGGGTTTGCATCTGACGCGAGTACGCTTAACATACACAAGTGTACGCCCAACGTACTAAGGCGCGCCCTAGTACGCTTAGCGTACTAGCATTGTCTCCAAAGTTGCAACTTTAGCCCTTAGGCTTCTCATGGGTCTACTTTTCTAACCACAGGGACTACAAATGGCAAATAATGATAGAAGAGAGGGTTCGAAAATACCTGCAAAATCTCGGGATGTTACAATTCTCCCCCACTTGACCTAAACTTCGTCCTCGAAGTCCGCGGTGGTAAGCAGATCAGGGTAATGCTCCCGCATCTCTGACTATGGCTCTCATGTCCACTCAGATCCCCTCCGATGTCGCCACTACACCTTTACCAGAGGTATCTCCTTGTTGCGCAGAACCTTCACCTTCCTTCCCAAAATAGCCACCGGCTGCTCCACATAGTTCAGGCGCTCGTCAACTTGAACGTCATCAAACGACACTACTGCACCCTCTTCCAATATGCACTTCCGTAACTGGGAAACGTGGAAAGTGTTGTGTATCTGACGGAGCTCCTCCGGAAGATCCAGTCTGTATGCAACCTTGCCAACCCTGGCAATAACCCGAAATTGTCCAATGTATCGGGGACCCAACTTTCCCTGCTTTCAGAAGCGAATCACACCCTTCCAGGGTGAAACCTTCAATAATTCCATGTCACCCACCTGGAACTCCAACTCAGATCGGCGTCTGTCGGCGTAACTCTTCTGCCGAATCTGACGATCTGCAGTCGTTGTCTAATCTGCTGAATCTTCTCGGTAGTTTGCAAGACTACCTCCGTCCGTCCCATCACTCTGTGACCAACCTCACCCCAACAGACTGAGGTGCGACATCTCCGCCCATACAACAGCTCAAAAGGTGGGGCACCAATACTATAATGATAGTTGTTGTTGTAGGCGAACTCTGCAAGGGGTAGGTGGGCATCCCAACTCCCACTGAAGTCGATGACGCAAGCCCTCAACATGTCCTCGAGGGTCTGTATAGTCCGCTCACTCTGACCGTCGGTATGCGGATGATAAGCTGTGCTAAAATGCAACCGCGTGCCTAGCTCCTCGTGGAACTTTTGCCAGAAGCGGTATTCCAATCTAGGGTAGATCCATTCCTCGGAGCTACCTCTGCGGATTGAGTTTATTCCTCGGAGGTAGCTCCGCGGAATGGATATTGAGTTTTTTTTAATACCCTGATTTATTTATGATTTTGCCATTCCGCGGAGCTACAGTGCATTCCGCGGAGCCCCTCGGAGTTATCTCCGTGGAATACATGTCTATACCCGGAAATCCAATTTTTTATGTCAATATTTTTGAATTCAACCCCAAAAAATGTCTATACCCGGTATTTTCCCTTTAACTCATAAGAATGTGGAATTTAAGGGGCCAAAACTGCCCAAACCGAAACTTTTTGTTTTCTTCGCCGGTAAACGAGTACGCAACAAAGGGTCCTATGAAGCCAACGTTCAAAAGATAATGCCGTTTCCTTTCATTATCAAAACAACGCATCGTAACATAACACCTAATAACGCCGGGGCGGGACAATGTTCGAAGCTTGTAACGGCATCTTTGGAGGTATCCCAAGAACCACAATAACGCCGGTGGGCGTTACCCACACGGGCCAGTCTAAAAGGTTAGTGGCTTGTACTACTTTTTTTTTTTGAACCGGCAAATACACATATTATAATCTATTCCTAAACTAACACCTAATTCCACCTATGTCCACCACGAGACTTGAACCCTCAACCTCAAGGAGGGAGGGCGCCACCTGATACCGTTGGGCTAGAAGCCCTTTGGTGGCAAAGGTTTACTCGATTCAAGAAAAACTCAACACAACCGTTGTATTAAGATGAAAACTATGGACTCGAAATTCATTTAAGACATGATTTTTTTTTTTAAATGCTCCATAAAATAACCGTTGTATTAAGATGAAAACTATGGACTCGAACAATCAATACAAAGGTTTACTCGATTCAAGAAAAACTCAACATCACTACCAAGCCAACATGATTTGATGACGAGGCCACGAGGGCTAATTTGATGCTTCGGACCGGTCGCCGCGCGGTTCCACCTGGAACTGGCCGGCCCCACCGCAAAAATTCTCAGCCTCCAATGCAAAACACAACTGCTCACCACACCAGTCTTCTGATTCTTATCGAAACCTCCATCTCACAATTTCAATCTATTCAAATATGATTGATATCACTCGTGTTTCTTGTTTAATTTCAAGAAAACCCATCTGGGTTCTCTTCCAAAATCGTTAATTTAAAGATTGATATTCCGACGTTTACTGAACCACAAGTTCACAATGGGAACCGGTTCATCAAGGCACTTTGACAGTAGCGCTCATGGCAGTGGAGAAGAGAAAGATGACCATGGCGGTGGTCAACTCTATGTCTCTTTAAAGATGGAGAACTACAATCTCAAAGGAGACCTTGTTCCTCACGTCTATGGCTCCGTCCCTCTCGTTGGTTCTTGGGATACCTCCAAAGCTGTAAGTTTACCCTTCTTCTAGAAGGTTTATTACAGAAAGCTTTTAGTTTATGAAGTTGAAATGTTTGATTATTTGGCTGGTATTTTGCTCCAATGCAACTTATAATTCTGTTTGTGTTTAGCTTCCATGGAAACCTATTTGCTTCCCCTCTTTCAATATCCATTTTTTTTTCTTTGGTAATTTTCTGATATGTTGTTTCCATTGAAACCTGTTTCTAATGCCTTTTAATATCCATGTTTAAAAAAATCTTGTAGTTATCCTTCATTGAAACCTATTTATGGTTTTTCCTCAATATCCATGTTTCTAATGTTAATAACAATTCTGTATTTAGCTTTGATCGAAACCGATATGTAGTCTTTATTAATACCCGTGTGCCTGATTTTGATGAACTTTTATATTTAGCTTCCATTGAACCCTATTTATAGTCCTTTTTGCATATCCATGTCCTTAATCTTGATAATTTTCTTTATATTTAGCTTCCACTGAAAACTATTTATAGTCATTTTTGCATATCCATGTCCTTAATCTTTGATAATTTTTCTTTGCATTTAACTTGCATTCAAACCTATTTATACCCCTTTTCAATACCCGTTTCGATTTTTGTTATATTTAGCTTCCATTGAAACCAATTTATAGTCCTTCATAGTGTTCATGTTTCTAATTATGATAATTTTCTTGAATTAGCTTCCACTGGAACGCGAATCAACCTCGATGTGGGAATTAAGTTTTGTTGTCCCTCCTAATCATGGTAATTCCTTTTTTGTTTATCTTTCTTTGTAATTTTCTGCTTTTAGGTCCATGTAATTCCCATCCATTTGAAGTCCCAATAGAGGAATTTTCTTGTAACAGACCCCTTAAATCTTTAACAAAGTTGTTTATCAATTTTGGAGTTTAAAGATACATGACAGATAAGTTATTAACTATATTTGGTTTTTCTTGAATTAGAAACCTTGGATTTCAAGTTCTTATTGAAACCCAAAGACAACAATGTCCCATGCATAGAGGAGGAAGGCATAAACAGGCAGTTCATGGGGGGGTACATTGCAAGGGGTTGCAAGATTAGCTGTTTTTAATTTAACCCCAGATGAGATTCTTGAGTATAGGGTAAACATCAAAACCAACAGGGTTTCACCATTTGATCTTGCTGCAAGTTGGAGAGCTTATCAAGAAAATCTTGAACCCTCAACTGTTCGTGGGATTCCTGATGTTAGTATAAATTCATTGCCTGAAGGTGTCGAGGTACTACTACTAATACTAATATACCTTTTTCAGATTTTCCCATAAATGGTTGAAATCTTTATAATTCTTGAAATTATTATGATTCAGAATCAGAATGGGTCTTCAGCCAGTTTGGACCTTGATCTTGAACAATACCTAGTCCCTGCTCCTGTAACTTCTGTGGTTTATGCTGCTAATTTGACTGAGACTCCAAGGTCTTTAAAGCGTGGTGGTACTGGTGTGTTTTCAAATGCTGAAAGTTCAACCAAAGATTCGGGTGTTTCTGTTGATCGTCCTGCAACCATAAAGGTTATTACTTTCATCTTTAGATTATACAGTATATGATTATATATGTATGTTGTTTGACTTAATTTGATACTTAAAAAATAGGAAATGGAAGTGGCTATTCCTGATCCTCCAAAGTTATATCATCCACCTGGCATGGTTGAATCAAAGTCAGTGGGAACAATTTCACCCTCACAAAGACAAGAAAGTCACCGTGGAATTTTTGTGGATAGGGGGGTGGGGTCCCCTCGGTTAGTCAGATCAGCCAGTGCAGCCACTTTGACTACCGGAACTAAACGTGATCCAGGAGCTAAGGTTTGTATATTTCTTTACAAATTACAATAATGCCATTGGATTGGATTGGATTGGATTTCTAAGTTTGTAACATTTGAAAATTCAATGTGAAGATGCCAGCTGCTGCTGGGGCAGTTGCAGCTGCAGCTATTGCTGATCAAATGCTTGGCCCCAAAGAAGATATGCATCTTGCCATTGTCTTGGTAATCTTTTTTAATTTATAATATAGCACCAAATGTGTCATTTTCAATCTAAAATTGGAAATATTTTTTTGTTTTATTTGGTAGGTTGGGTTACCGGCTCGTGGCAAAACTTTTACTGCTGCTAAACTTACGAGGTATCTCCGTTGGTTAGGTCATAATACCAAACACTTCAATGTTGGCAAGGTGATTTATTTATTTATTTTTTTATCATCCATTAGACCCCATTTGTTATACATGACATGACAGAACACGTTGTACTGTATTTGTCATGCATCAGACTATAGATTGAGACTGACAGTCTGAGATTGACAGACTTGACTCTGACAATCTGAGACTGATAGACTCGGTCTCAAAGACCGGACTTGCTCTTGCTTTCTCACCTTTTGCAAAAGACGTGGATGCCCTTTTCTTCCTCATCGTTGAAAATAGGCCTAGAAAGCATGTGGAATCCATGGAAAATTGTCTGATTGTTTTTCTTGTTGTCACAGTATCGACGGCTGAAGCATGGAACAAATCAGGTAGGTTTAATTTTTGTGAAATGTGGTTTATATGCATATCAAGAATCTCTTGGTGTTGAGATTCTACTTATTTTGATGGTTTTTTATTGATATTTTATCGTTTAATGCAGACTGCAGATTTTTTCCGGGGTGACAATCCTGAAGGCATGGAAGCCCGTAATGAGGTGATTTCAAAGTGATTATTGGGAGTTAAAGAATCAAAATTAGAGTCAATAATTGAATAATCATTTTAAGTGAAGTTAAAGATGGTTATGTGTTCTGACTATTATTAATCAAATGTCTAAAACAACACCCTTTTAAAAAAAACGACTAATTATGGGATCTTTGTTTGCAAATAGTTTTAATACATCACATGCCACTAGGTAGCAGCTCTGGCAATGGATGACATGACAGCTTGGATGCAAGAAGGTGGCCAGGTAAGTCCTATAATTTTCAATATTTTTTCATCGTTGAAAAATGCTAAAAGGAATTCAAAATTTATTTAGGTTGGGATATTTGATGCCACAAATAGTACTAGTGAGCGAAGGAATATGCTTATGAAAATGGCTGAAGGCAAATGCAAGGTAAGATGCTGATGTCAGCCACCTAGCGGGCCACTGTGTACCTGATTTGATTTACATCTGCTCAGGGGTTGCTGAAAGAATATATTTTTTGATTTCTATTAAATGCACGTTACAGATCATATTTCTGGAAACAATTTGCAACGATCGACAAATAATTGAAAGAAATATACGTCTCAAGATTCAACAAAGTCCCGATTATTCCGAAGAGTATGCTTACTTTTTAAAAAATATTCATTATTTTTTATAAAAAAACTTTTGCTTACATGAGTAAATCTATATATTTTTACAGACCGGATTTTGAAGCTGGATATCAGGACTTCAAACGACGACTTGATAACTATGAGAAGGTACCTTTAAATTATTTATTAGTTTTTTTCTTTTTTTGGGTGATTTTATAGATTGTTTATTATTGTAATTTACTATAATTATCTCTTGTGACAAGATCTATGAACCGGTTAATGAAGGATCGTATATTAAAATGATCGATATGGTTAGTGGTCATGGTGGGCAGATACAAGTAAGTTGTCTCATTTTTATTGTGGATGTGATACTTATATATTTTATAATTATACATATGATTATTAGATGTATTACTTATATCTTATTTGTATATATATATATATATATATATATATATATATATATATATACAGGTGAACAATATCAGCGGATACCTTCCTGGGCGGATTGTGTTTTTCTTGGTATGTAATCAAATCTATGCCATTTTTTCCCTTTAATTTTTGTGACATCATCTTAATCCATAACTCTAAATTATATTTTTAGAAATATTCATAAAATATATAAACTTGGTATATTGTCTTTGCAGGTGAATACACATTTGACACCTAGACCAATTTTGCTTACAAGACATGGAGAAAGTCGTGATAATGTGAGAGCAAGAATTGGAGGCGACACTGTCTTGAGGTTTCTTGTTTCTTCTCATCTTAAATGAATATTCAATAAATATTTAAGAAAATGATTCTATTAAGTCATTCTTTCTACATTAAGTAAAAAAAAGAAGATTGATCTAGTTTATCCTTTTGTTTGGCATTCGAGCTCTAAATGAACCTTAACTTTGACACACTTTTTGTAATCTTTTAATTTGTTTGACAGTGGAAATGGGGAGCTTTATGCAAAAAAACTTACTAATTTTGTCGAAAAGCGACTAAAAAATGAAAGGGCTGCTTCTGTAAGTATTATAATTGTTGTATTTCACCTTTTGATTAAAAAATTCTCAACATACAAGTTTTAATTACTATGTAATGTGACCTAGATATGGACAAGCACATTGCAACGAACAATTTTGACTGCAAATCAAATTGCTGGATTCCCAAAGGTTAGCATTACACTTTTCTCATAACTTGCTTCTTTGATTACTTACTAATTATGAAAATTATTAATTTTTTTTTTATTATAGATACAATGGCGTGCACTTGATGAGATAAATGCTGGTGTATGTGATGGTATGACATATGAAGAAATAAAAAAGAATATGCCCGAGGAATACGAGTATGTTTTATACTTTTATATGAAAAATGAAAACCTCACTTGTTTTTTATATACTAATATGAATAATTTATATAAATTTCCATTTATGTGTCTTTTTTTCAATTTGTTGAAGGTCCCGAAAGAAAGATAAACTTAGGTATCGATACCCTCGTGGAGAATCTTATCTTGATGTGATACAAAGGTAACACAACTAACTAATAAAAGAAACTTTGGTATTTTGTAGTATATGAAAAGACCATTATGACCTTACTTGATCTATTTTAGGTTGGAGCCGGTTATCATCGAGCTAGAAAGACAACGTGCACCGGTTGTGGTCGTATCTCACCAGGTCAAGTCAAATGACCGAATTAGCCTTCATTTTCCGCCTTTGTATTTTTATTTTTTTCTTTAATAATAATAATAATAACAACGCGTGCTTCGATTATTTCAGGCAGTTTTGAGAGCGTTATATGCTTATTTTGCTGATCGCCCTTTGCAAGAAATACCGCTTATGGAGGTAATAAACAATTTTAATTTTTAAAATTTAGAAAGAAAAAAAAAACATAACAAACGGTTTGTATGAATGCACATTGAATACGAATAATGAATAATGAATTAAATGGTTGAAATTACAGATGCCGCTTCATACGATAATCGAGATACAAATGGGAGTTACGGGTGTACAAGAGAAACGATACAAACTCATGGATTGATTCTTGATTCTTGATTCTGTTTTTATGTTTGAACGAATATAGAAATATAAAAATTTAAGAAACTATTCATGTTTAAATACTCAAGAATTATTTGTTAATCGAGAGGATTTCCTTATTTATAATGGCTCCATTTATTGTATAGAATCTTATAGATGTTATGGATTTATTATAGTAAATCATAATCATAATCGCTAATGTCGATAAGACGTATTGTCGTTAATTTAACGGATTTGGACATGGGTTAGGGTCGATATCAGTCATTGGTAGATACTAAATAATGTTTTTGTTTTTGACCTTTTTCTCCCTGAAAACATGCATGAAAGTTGGCGTCCTGCTTTTATTCAATTTAGTCATGGACTCATGCTGATTCTTCCATAAGAATTATGACTTTAGGATGCGGTGGTTGTAGGGTTATTTTCGTCATTCTAAACTTCTGAACAAAAGGCTTATTTTATTATTATTATTTTTTTATATATATAAATAATATACTTTTAATTTAACTTTTAAATTTAAATGATAGATATAGAGATGGTATAATTGTTTTCTTCCAACTCCTTAAAATTAATAAATAGTGAATTTTTTGAAATGTTAAGATAAAAAAAAATCATTTAGTTTATATAGAGACAATATGTAACATATTTTATTCAAACAGATATCATTATTCATTCAATACATCGAATTAATCAAACTCAACCTCACAGTTAATTCTACCATGATTAACAATGATAATACCCACAACCAAATAACAAATACTAAAACCCAATACTTTTTAAAAAAAATATCAAATTATAATAACTTGAACTCTTGAAGATGATTAATAAATACGAATTATTATATATTTATTGACTACTAGTCAAGCTTTTCATGAAAGCTTGGGTCAGCGTAAAAGAATTGCGTCTTTTAGGGCATACGAAATAATTTCGATTTAAATATAACTTTGACTTGATGAATAGTTTAGTATAATAATAACTACTTAAAATATATTTTCATAAAAGAAAAACATTTGGAAAACTTACCAAGTAAAGTCAATAAATTTAGATAACGACCTTACTAAGAAAGCATCACTTTTTTAATCAAAATACCTTAATAGCATCAATTTTAATCACTTATAAGTAATACTAGATATACTATATCTCACTTTTGACTGTAATGGATACAAGTTTGGAAGGTGTGAAGCACTTGTATGTGTGCCGTCGAAAGAGTCAACGTAATGACCTGAAACATATCCACAATGTAACAAATATATCAATTTGATAATTTTCCGGGTAACACCAACACGTTTATTTCCAACAAACGCGACTTTCTCGCCAATTTCAACTGAAATTAACAATTTTGTTCGTTTTCAACAAAAACGACTTTCTTGTCAATTTCAACTGAAATTAACACTTTTGTTATTCTAAGCACATGACTTTGGTTTTGGCAGATTTTGTTAGTTCTTCTATGCGTTTTTCTATAACGAGTTCGTATATGCAAAATAACATTTGTAATAAACGGAATGTTGGGCTCGTGTTAGACATGATTCCCGAGTCGTCGTCTTTTTTCAGGGTACAACAACTGCAACAATGTGTAATGTTGGATTAGACCACTTGTCTGAAAAGTTTGTCGGAAAATGTATAAAAGAAGGAGAAAAGAATATTCGTTTGCTTTAACAGTATTCATTGATTCAAAATTAAATGAATACAAAACCCATAATTTGCATCCCCGTACAACAACTGCAACAATGTGTAATGTTGGATTAGACCACTTGTCTGAAAAGTTTGTCGGAAAATGTATACAAGAAGGAGAAAAAAGTATTCGTTTGCTTTAACAGTATTCATTAATTCAAAATTAAATGAATACAAAAACCATAATTTGCATTCCCATTGCTTACAAGCATATATTTATGTTTATAAACCATTAATAGTTTACTTTTTACTATACCTAGAAGCTTATAAGCCTACTACACATCTATGCTTATAAACCCATTAATAGTTACTTTTTACTCCTATGTGGGATACATTTCTATAACTACTTTATTTGCTAACTTTATTTTCAAATACTCATATTTGAATATCTATATCTCATTTATATATATACTCCATTTTGGACACAACATGTATTGTTTCGAAGTTCTTATGGAGGAGAACATGACCCGCTATCGATTAATAAGTTATACAATATATAAATATATGTAAATGTGTCTAAAATTTAATAAAAAAATATATTTTTTTATTAAATTTTCCAACAGATTTTACCTTTCCTTTTACAAAATTCTGCAAATTGTTCTCTAAGTTGAGCATTATGTGTTTTTTTAATCTCAAGTTTTGCCTGAAATCGAAATATAAATTTTTTCAGATTATCACAAACGTGTTCCGGGGCGTATAATCCTGTAATCAAAATTACATATTTTAAAATTGTTTATATGATATTCTATAAATATCTTTTGGTATTCTAATTTCTAACCTTATTATTTCCAACAAAAAAACTATATTTGGGTAGCATTTTCTCCAATTAAAATATTGTATTGGGATCCTCCTCAAATACTAATACTAAATAATAATATATTATAATTATCATCATTTTAGGTGCATGCCGTCGACTTCACGGGACTTTTTAGTCTTTCGGTGGCACCTCTTTGTTTGCAAACCCTCCAATAGTATTATGCCACATCACCAAAAAAACCTTAAAAACAGGAGACACATAAGCCGACCGTACTAAACTTTTAACACACACCTACAAACAAACACAAACAGAAAAACATTAAACATAATGGTAGGCTCGTTTTATATTTTTTGTTTCGTAAGTTTAAAATTTGATAGGTTATATTTTTATGGCATGTGAATATTGCATTGCAGTTCATTGTTCAATATATATATATATATATATATATATATATATATATATATATATAGAATTAATATAGATTATTTATAAAACTGTTTTTATTTTTTTAAATTAATTATCTAAGTTATATAAAATCATATTATTGTTTATTTTTAGATTCATTTATTTATCTTCTTTTGATGGTTTAAAAATCTTTTAATATTTTTGACGTTTTATTTGAATATATTATTTGATGTTGTTTTTTTAACGTTTTGTTTGTTTACATTATATAATGATTTTTTTAAAGTTTTATTCCAATAGAAAAATTAAAATAATAACCTGGATATTTTTGATGTTTTATTTGGATATATTATTTGATGTTTTTTTTAACGTTTTGTTTGTTTACATTATATAATGATGTTCTTTTTAAGTTTTGTTTGAATAAAGAAATTAAAATAATACACTAGATAACTATAAATTGTCCAATATAATTATTTAATGTTGTTTTTATGTGTTTTTTGTTTACAACATTCATTTATAAGTTAGTGTTTGTTATGTTATTCGGTTTTAATAGATTATATGGTTTTATGTGTTTCTCGTTACATCATTCGTTTATATGTTGATGGTTCTTCATTTATTGCCTAAATAATTATATATTTTTTTGTATAACTATTTATGAAAAAAACCAAAGTAAAACTATTCAATCTAACACACACACACACACACACACATATATATATATATAATATATATATATATATATATATATATATCGTTAAAAGAAAAAGAAAAAACGAACATAAATAATTTTATTGGAAAACTGATAGTTATCCGAGTTATGCTTTAATTTTTTTTATTCAAAAAACGTCAAAAATATCATTATATAATTTAAACAGATAAACGTAAAAAAAACAATATTAAATAATATATTCAAATAAAAGGTCAAAAATATTAAAATATTTTTATACCATAAAACAAAGATAAATAAATAAAGCAAAAAATAAATAATAATAATAATAATAATAATAATAATAATAATAATAATAATAATATGATTTTATATGATTTAGATAAATGATTTAAAAAAAAAAATAGTTTTATAAATAATCTATATTAATTCTATTAAAACAAAGATAAAAAAACAATGATATATATATATATATATATATATATATATATATATATATATATATATATATATATATATATATATATATATAAAGAAAAAAAAAGGAAAATGTAATTTGGTTTTTACTAGCAAAGACCTGAATTGCAATATGCACAAGCCACAATGATATAAACTATCAAATTTTAAATTTAAGGAGCAAAACTGCAAATTCTATCGAACCACAGGGACCATTTGTATTCATAAAAGTGTTAAATCTACCAATATAATTTAAGACATTTAAAAGATATTAAAAGTGTTAAATCTACCAATATAATTTAAGACATTTAAAAGATATTAGTTGAGCCACAAACTGTTCATGTACGAATAAATAGATTGAAGAAGAAAACATTTCCATATACGTCATGTCTTTAAATTTTGATCGGCAAAAGTCAGAGTACAGATAGAAACTAGTCTCATCTGCTCATATGCTAATCTTCTTCTTCTTTTTCTTTTTTATTTTTATTTATTTATTTTACTTTTTTTTTAAGATTGGAGGAATTCCAACTCATATGTATGAATCTGAATGCATGTTCTAAAACTAATTATGTTAAATTAAATGATCTACTATAGAGTATAGATAGTGTTTGGACGTGTTTATATTATGTGAAGTTGTAATTAGTCTTATAATCCGTTGTTTGAGTTATTGAAAAATCTAGCGTAAATGATAAATTTGGTCCTCTTGCTCTTTCAATTTTGACCAATGGTCTAAAAACTAAAAAAATTGTCGTTTTAATGTTGGGTATTTTGGGACCAAGTATATATAAATAATGTTATCATTAACATTATATTATTATGAAAATTATATAAAATTGTTGATGGATCGATATTTATAATAAATAAAGATATACACTTATCATGTTTATCTTGTGGGTTCAGTTTTTGGTTGTGATCAAGATCTCCTAAATCCTTAATATCTCTCACATTCTATAATATCTCCATTTATATAAATACGCGATGAGGAAGATATGACACTTTGAAATTATTGGCAATATTGGTCCCTAATGGACAAAAGTGGCAAGAAGATACCATGCATGCAAGGTGGCCAGCGCGGAAGTACGCCCAACGTAGAGGAGTAAGTGGACGCGAGTGTTGGAGGCGTACGCCCAACGTACGCTCAAAGTTCCTAAACCCTAATTTTAGGGCTAAGCACTATATAAAGAACATAATGCCCTAGATATCAGCCTCCCTCTCACCCT